GTCAATTACCGTGAACGGTTGACTCGTGAGATTGTTTTGTTGTTTGTACTGAACAATTGTTTGTTTCGATATTAAGCAGGTATTTCCATACATACATACCATACATATCTGTCACGCCTGTCTCCCATTATGGTAGGCAGAAACAATGGAACGCCAAATGCTTCGATTCAAACAAACCTCCTTCGCTTCCTCCACATTCATCAATCTTTTCATACACGCTCGCCGGTTACGGGTACTTTTAATTTGGCCCTTCCTCAGCACGTCGCCTGTTTGGTCGACATACGTCCGTCTAGGGCGGCCCCTACCGACATCTCCATTCATTCTTGCTCGATAAATTTCTTTCGTAATTCTTCTTTCATCCATCCTCTCCAAATGACCAAACCAACGCAACATTCCTTTTTCGATTTTTGTCACTACACCGTCTGTTTTGTTGTTTGTAATGAACAATTGTTTGCTTCGATATTAAGCAGGTATTTCCATAGGCCATATATCTGTTTTTAGGGTTCCGTGCCTCGACCGAAAAACCGAAACACTTATAGGATCACTTCTTTGTTCGTCCGTCCGTCTGTCAAGACCCTTTTTCTTAGGAACGCGTAGAGGTATCAAGGTGGACCACGAGGAGGTCAACCTGACAGGGTATATTGCTAGCAATGGAACTGGTAGTTCCCATTACTAACAACCCCCCCCCCCCACAAATAGGTCAATTTGCAAATCGTTAAAAATTACACGAGAGTCAACCACGATGGTTTCCAGGGAAGAATCGCGTGGAGGTCGATCTAACAATGGGAGGCTATACCTCCTTCCTCTAGCATTAAAACCGCTTTTTTTTAGAAAGAGTATAAGCGTTTTTAATAATACCACTACCAAAAATTTGCATTGGGAATCGAACCCGCGACCATTGGACTGCGAGGCAACGTCGAACCACTACGCCATGCGCTATCCTCAAAATTCTCAGGCTTCACGCTTAGGACTACGCTCGTCTGACACCCTTTATCGACTTCTCATCTCAACGTTAGAAACTGAACCTTATTCCTTGGCATCAAAGTTCAATTGTTCCGTTTCACGCAGTTCGAAATTACTCGAGTTACCGGCACAATCTAGGTGCAGACTAAAACGAATCTTGTGTAAACTACATAAGGTCCGTTTTGGTCTGCCGCGACAGGATACACAGTATAATTCAGATAAAGTAATTTATTAATAATCTAATACAAATATCACGAGATTTCTCTTTAAACATTCATTTTTTAATAAATAAGCCCCTGAATTCTTGCGAAACTAAGATTAGGTAAAAGTGAAAAAAAAAAATTGAAATAAATAAACATGACGCAGAGGCATAACTTTAAATATGGGAGGGAGGGATTGTTAGCAACGTGGAATACCAGTCCCGTTGCTAGCAATATACCGAAACAGGTCGACCTCCACGAGGTCCCCCTTGGAAACCATCTTGTTAACCAGGTGTGTTCATCACGACTTGCTTTTCTCTCCTCACCTATCACGTTCCCTTGTACCTCGCCAGCGTATACCGTTAGCGCAGGCGCGGTTACCATTTCATTATCATCCATTAAAAAAAAAACTAAAAAAAGGGGGGGGCTGAGTGGGCCGTGCCCATCCTGGAATCGCTCGATACCCACCACAGGAAACGAGCAAAGCTTCACAGACATCCACTAACCGGGAAATAACCTCAAATTCGCCAACAGGCGTCACAGTGTATTCTGTGACACCAATATAGTGTTTTGTTTAAATAGGCGGCTACCGTGGGTCGTCAACTTGTTTGCCGCTGCTATTTGGCAATCCATAAAAAAAATTTACAATTGTTTATTTTTACACTTGGCATATTTAGCGAGCAATACTAAATGTGTGGTTTTATCGAATTAGGAAACTCATAATAATGTAAGTATGTACGTTGGCGCTTCATCGGCTAAACAAATCATCACTTTTTTTATACAACTTAGAATGGTAAACAAGCTGACGGCCCACCTGATGGAAAGTGGTAACCGTCGCCTATAGACATGAGCAGTACAGTAACAGAGTATACTGTTTCGTCCATGATACCCCCCATGTGTTGCCATTCCTGAGGACTCACGTGTTCCTCTGTACCGTGAAAATTCACGCCATATCCCACCGTTCAAACCGAAACACAGCCGTGCAAACACAACTGCTTCACGTTAGAAATACGAATGGGACAGAGGTGGCCAAGCAAACGACTTTGGTACAGTCTCCCTCTAAATGGGGGGGGGGGGGGGTTAAAATACCAGGAAAACATGATAGGCGAGGAAGAAAGCAAGTCATTTGGCTCATTATGAGGAACTAACCACTACTAAATAATAATAACTAAATGATCTGCTTTCATCCTCGCCTATCGTGTGTCCCTGGTACCTCGCCAGCGTATACCGTTAGCGCAGGCGAGGTTACTCCATTATCATCCATTAAAAAAAAATAATTAAAAAAAAAAGGGATTTTTTATAAATTTTGTCTCTCTCTCTGCAGATTTCCTCCGGTAATCGCACACAAATGCTGCACCAAATCGAAAACGGTTTCCACATTTCAGTTCCCGAAGGTGTAACTTAAATCCCACCCCTCAAACCGAAACACAGCCATGCAAACACAACTGCTTCACGGTAGAAACACGTATGGGACAGAGGTACGCAAGCAAAAGACTTTTGTACACTCTCCCTCTAGATGGAGGATTTTTTAAATACCAGGGAAACATGGGACAGGGAAGGTGTAACTTAAAAACTGGTATACTTCGATACGCCATCTTCTCGATATAGAACTACAAAAATAAGATAAATGTAATAAGAAAGTAAGACAAATGCTGTAGAGATGAGAGCTCTGAGAAGTATGTGTGGTATTACATTAAAAGATAGAGTATGAAACAGTGTGATTAGAGAGAAGTGTGGACTGAAAGACGGTGTAGTGACAAAAATAGAAAAAGGAATGTTGCGTTGGTTTGGTCATTTGGAGAGGATGGATGAAAGATGAATTACGAAAGAGATTTATCGAGCGAGAATGAATGGAGATGTCGGTAGGGGCCGCCGTAGACGGACGTACGTCGACCAAATAGGCGGCGTGCTGAAGAAGGGCCAAATTAAAAGTACCCGTAACCGGCGAGTGTGTATGACAAGATCGATGAATGTGGAGGAAGCGAAATAGGTTTGTTTGAATCGAAGCATTTGGCGTTCCATTGTTTCTGCCTACCCTAATGGGAGACAGGCGTGACAGATATGTATGTATGTATGTAACTTCAAAAATTCACGCGTAACAAATGAATGTGAACGAAGTGGCGGGCAAAAAACTAGCTACATTTAAAATCGATTAGTTAAGTTGTTCATTGCAAGCAAGCAGTGTCCATGTACCTAGATGCATAATCTAACTAGAGCGAAAGTAAAAATTTAAATTGTAACAGATAATGCAAGGAGAAAACTATCGCTCTACTAAACCTATTAACAATAGGGGGAAAGGGATAGTAAGTAATGTAGACTACTAGTTCCATTGCTAGCAATATACCTTATCAGGTCGACCTCCACGTGGTCCCCCCTGGAAACCATCGTGCTGAATTCCAAGTGTATTTTTTTTAATGGGTAAAAATGGACTGCTAACCTCGCCCGCGCTATCGGTATTCACCGACGAGGCACCAGTGGAAGATGATAGGTGAGAATGAATGCAGGTTAGTTGGCCCATCATGATGAATTCATCAGGAATTAACCATGATAGTTTCCCAGGAGGAACCGCGAGGAGGTCGACCTGGTTGGATATATTGCTAGCAATGGGATTCTCAGTCTCCATTACTAACAATCCTTTTTCCCCCCTTCCAGATGTATTCATCACGATGGGCTAACTAACCTGCCTTTTCATTCTCACCTATCATCCCTCACTGGTGCCCCGCCGGGGTATACCGATAGCGCAGGCGGGGTTACCATTCCATTATCATCCATTAGAAAAAAAAACCTATCAACAATTAATAAAAACTAAAAACTTGTCATTTTTAGGAATTACACTTAGTAAAAATAAAAATCTATTTATATGAAAACATCGATAATTTAGCACTAATTAAATCACTAAATAAGAGGGGGGGGATCTCTAAATATCGACAATTTAGCACACCGCGTCACGCAACACGCACTAGCAATATCGTTAAATAAAAAAATACCTAATTTACAAATAATTATTTCGAGTATCTCCGAACATCTCCGAACAACCTAAAGGTTGACTGGTAGAGAATGCCTATAGCATTAAGTCCGCCTTTTGTACCATATTTTATTGGTCAATAATGTTTAAATATATAAATAAATTATGTTTAGGTACCTACACTGTATTAATCATTTATTACATTTATTATATTATGTTTCACAGAACATTGAATATAGATGCATAATGTGTATAATATAAAAAAAAAACTTAAAAAAAAAATTGTTATCGATAATTCCCGCACTGCGCCACATCACTAGCACTCGCTGATATGGCGCACAGCGGCAGGGTTGAATTGAAGCCAACAATTTATTTCCTTAACTTCTGAACACTCCATTTATTATAATTAAATATCTAGGTATCTACATAATTATAAGAATTATTCACAAATTAATTATATTAAAAAAAAATGTTAAATATTTTATTACATCATAGATAGGTAATTATAGGTTAATTAATTAAAAAGAAATAAAGGTCATAGATTAGACATTAATATTTTTTTTAATTTGTACTATTTGAAATTAAGTAAAAGGAATTCAATCGAACAGCTTCCTCTATGTAGTGGATCGGCGAAACAATGGATGACGTCACGCGTTAACAAAAGTAGGTTCTCAAAGAGCACTTACATTAATTCGATACGACTGTTTTTACATCCATTTTCCACTCAAACGCTCGAGATGTTTTTCAAATTAATTAAATAAGAACAAACGAAATTATAAACGTTATTATCTAATCAAATTAAAACCTACATTTATAATATGCTCTAATTAAAATGGAAGGAAGTACTATATTATTAAGAAAATTCAAATTACCTTGAACGACGGTTTATCCATAATTAAAAACAATCCAAAGGACAAAGGAAAAACATCCAAGCAGTCACTTTAACTTCACAAAAACACAAATCGAGTGCATATCTTTGAATGGGACACCATGTAACATCGTATAAAACAAAACAATGGTTACTATGCAATATTATTTTAAACTTTTCAGCTTACACATTGCACTAAATTTATAACACACTGAATGTTCTGTGGCAGTTATTTTTCAACAAACTATAATTAGATACACTACCTACACTACACTACACTACACTGTATACGCGCGCACGGAGGTAAGGAAATTACACTTTTTTAATTTAATTTTTTTTAATTTAATTTTCATGTCCAAATGACAATGGAATAACGGTTATAATGCCAAGTTTCCGAACGAGCCGTTCAATAATGATTGATGGAGATAATTATTTAATTATCTGCAACGTAGATAAACGATTGTGTTAATAATACTAATCGCATACACATCCATATTCACACACGCGCGACGACACACACACGTAGTAAATCAAGAGAAAAAAAAAATAACATTATAATAATAATTATTTTTAATCACATAACGACATATTATTTCGATCATAACTGTTTAGTCGTAAAATTAATGTGTTGATGATGATTCAAATTAAAATATTACGAACACAATAAAACAATATGGCGATCGTTTGACAAAAATAAGTCAAAACACGCGCGAGGGGAAGCGTTCGCTTGACAGCAACACGGCCATCCCAGCACACGGCCGTGGCGTATCTGTGTGATATTTTCTTACCCGCTCACACGCTGAGAACCTAGGGTTGAACCTACTTTGTCAAATACTTGCTGATTTATTTGTTTAGCATATAAATTTTATTTTATTGCTCCGCCATCTTGTCGAGTGTCATTGTACGTATTGTTGTGAAATTATATAAAATATTATTTTTTAAAGTAAATTTTATAATTTAGTCGATTTTAATATAATGTCTAGCCTAATACCAAGTAGATAAACAATTAGTATATAAATTAAACCAATATTTTTTTAATTTTTTTTTATTGAATATAAAATAAAGAAAAAAATAAATCTAAAATAATAAATGAAACATAGTATTTGAAGAATATAGTTTCTTAATATCATAAATATAACTAAATATATACTTTAAATGTAAGATTTCTGCCGTGTCATGTATGAAGTAATAAATTACAATTTGCCTTATATTTTAAGAACAAAGATAAGATAAAGCATTTCATTGTTTGCTCTTAACTACTTATTTTAATTTTTATGGTAAAATTGGAAACTATTTGAACTACTATTACCAAATATTCTTAATTAGTATTTTGTTTTAATTATTTTTGATACGTATATGCATATGTGTGTATTAATTATTTTTTATAGCAACAAGTAAGATTCAATGTTCCAAATCATTAAATCTACTCGTTAACTTTCTAAAAATATTAAATATTACCTTTGTATAACAATAGTAATAAATCTATAATAATAAATAAATCTGTTAGCCCACGTTTATTATAAAATTATATAACGCAGCTATGATTTTAAAATGGCGCCGTCGCCGGCCCTACTGCACGCACACATAGCCGTAATCTGCTACATCTATACGTACGTAGGTACATACAATATTTTTTACATAAATATAATGATTGGCGTAGTACAAACGAAATGTTCACATAATTTTTTAACCGACGTTCAAGGGAAAGAGGGTACTGTTGTTAGTTGTATTTATTTTTAGATTTTTAGTACCACATTGAATATTTTCTTAATATTCAGTAAAATAAATAAATTAATAATTAGTAAATTAATTAATTTATTTTTAATTTTCATCACTGCATAATAAGGTCTTATTTAGATTATTTTTTAGATTATTTCGTGTCATTAAAACTTAAAACATTTAAATTCCAAAAGTTGATTATAAAAATAAACAAATAAATTTACTAATGGTATATTTTTGTTTACAAAATAAGTAACTAGTAAAAAATAAACTCCTCTGAGCACGCAACGTTGTTCGAGAGATTAGGAATGTATTAATGAATAAATCCAAACAAAAATAATGAAATTATCCCATTATCCTGTGTCTATATCCTATGTGGTTAAGCCGATAAGATACCAAGAGTTACCAAATTAAAAGACAACCAAACAAGTTACATTCCACGTTAATTAGTTAGTAACTAGTTATGGCCCATGGCTTTGCACGTATGGATTTTAGAAAAAAAAGAAAAATCAATGAAATTCTCCATTTCAAGATGGCGTATCGACATGAAACATACACTGGATTTTAAATTACACCTTCAGGAAAACTACTGTGAAAACTGTATCCAATTTATGTGATACTAAAACAAATATGCAGACAAACAAGCAGATAGAATATCTAAAAATTATTGTTCCAGAATTTTTTTAAACAACTTACTATGACAAACGAGCTGACGGTCCACCTGATGGAAAGTGGTAACCATCGTCTATAGACATGAACAGTACCGTGGACATAACAGAGTATACTGTTTCATCCATGATACCTCCTCATGCGTTGCCATTCCTGAGGAGTAAAGGTGTTATGCCTGTACCCTGTTGATTGATATATATATATATATATATATGAAAGAATTTTGGTGTAAATTTTTTTAAATTGGTATTTTATTAATTAAGGTATAATTTAATAATATAATATGGTATATAGTTTGTACGTATAATATAATAATGTTATGTTATAATTACATTCTATATAAAAGAAAATAAAAGATTTATTATTATTATATCCCACATACAGACATACCGTCTAGTTACAAATTTAATATATTAATGAGATGTCATAACTTGTTAAATTGGTTTCGTAAATTCTTGTTTCCTCAATGACACACTTAATTGTATTTTGATTAGTATTTAATTATTGCATTAATTATGTATGTTATGTTAACTCATACAATTTTTATTGCTAACGTTATTTTTAATACTAACTTCCACTTCCACGTACTCTATCATAATTTCAGTTTTTTTTTAAAGGATGTAAATAGCATGGTAACCCCGCCTGCGCTATTGGTATACAATGGCGGGGCACCACTGAGAGGTGATAGGTGAGGATGAAAAGGCAGGTCAGTTAGCCTATCATGACGAATTCAACGATAAATTAGTCACGACAGTTTCCAGGGGGAACCGCGTGGAGGTCGACCTGATAGGGTATATTGATTATTTTAATTTTAATTTATCCTAAATACCTATGTGTAAATTTAAGTTGTTTGTGAGGAGACATAAATAAATAAATATATTATTATTATTGATAGCAATAGGCACTTACCTTTCCATTACTGATAATCCCTTCCCACCTCATCATTTCAGCTGTTAACTGTCCCTTTTTGAATATAAGCCCTCTCTCTTAAGGGGAGTTTTGCCAGTACTTGCCACGCTTGGGAGCCGAATTGGCAAGTGCAGTTAAGTTATTAAAAATGTTTAAAGAAGGATACTGCTACCCATTTCTCTACTATTAAGTTCCCTTAGTTACCTCTTACGACACCCACAGGAAAGGAAGACATGGCCCATTCTATACTGGGTCCTACACGACTTAGTATAATAACTATCCATACTCTAAACTAATACATAAAACAGAAAAGTCTATTTGTCTGTTCGAACACCGAAATCTTTGTAACCGCCAGACTAGAAAAATTCTTGATTTGCAGCATTTGATAGCTCATTCCTCGAGATAGGCATAGGATATTCAAAGTCATAATACGAACACGGACAAAACTGTCTTGTAAATTTTATATAAATGCAGTATTAAAATGAGGTCGAAAGATAGTTAATTGGAAAAAAAAATCATAAAAATCGAATTACGTATGGTGAAGATACTCTTAAGGATCAGATAAAAAGACACATGTTTGTAATTGAAAAATGCGTAAATTTTATAGTCTGTTTAATATTGAATTAATCATAGTAAACGTCCTTATCGCTGTACAGATATAATATTAATAGACAGAAAAAGAATCGTTACGCATAAGTAAAACTTATCTTTGTAAGTAATACGTGGTAATATAAAAAAATCTGATAAAAACAATGAAGTGATCACAAAGATTTCCCGTGACTGATTTTTAAATGTTAAAAAGTAAATAATCAAAATACTTTATTTAGAACTAGCTTTTTACCGCGATCCTGCTCCCATCTTCCTTTATGAATATTTTATATGATACTTCATACTAAGGGTGGGTAATATATAGCTATATCTATATATTTTAGTTACAATATCTATGTATTGGCTTAATAACGATTATGTTAAAAGTGTGTTATCCAAGAAATAAATATTGGATAGCAGACTTTTAACATATTCGAAAATAGATATCCGACCGATATGGGCGATATAGAAATAGATGAAATGGATAGGGGAAAAAAAAATTTCGCCATCAATATCGAAAGGAACTTGATATCGGATATATAGATATCGGATCGGTATCCATATTACTCATGCCTACTTCATATTTTTATACCCTATATATATAATATATCGCTGACTCGAATTTTCCTATTCATTCCTATTTCTTAACATGGAAATACAAGACATACATTTTTAAACATATTATTGTATTATGGAACATTCATCATCATTATATCAGGTGTTAACTGTCCACTGTTGAACATAGGCCTTCCCAAAAGGGGTTTCACCAGAAGTTGTCGCGCTTGGCAAGCTGGATTGGCAACTGTTCTTAGGCTTTGGTGATGTTTTAAGAGGAACGCTGCTGCCCATTTCTCGACTATTAAGCTCCTTTAGAAAAGGAAGGAATGGCTCACTCTAAGCCAGGAGCAATACGGCATATATATAGAACATTATGTAACAAATAATCTTATCTGCAGTCAGTCTACAAACCAGTTTGCTATCTGTAGTAAGAAATAGTTTTCCCCTATTAGCCCATCGTAACGAATTCAACGAGAATTGTTCACGACGGTTTCCAGGGAGAACCACGTGGAGGTTGATCTGATAGGGCATATTGCTAATAATGGGGCTGTCAAACTCCATTGCTAACAATTCCTTCCCCCCCGTACTACGATGTTGTCCCTATAATATATAAGGATACTCTGCAAATTTTACATATACTGTGCCCACACAGAGTATGTTGGGTATTTCAGTTAATTCATTTTTAGCTTAGCACTAGATTTCCGCAAAAAGTGGCCGAACGATACTTCGTACTTCGCATGTTTTCAATGGCACATGGATTAAAAAAAAAAACATCCGTAATTGATTAACTACATTTATGGTATTTGTTATACATTATTGTTATATATTTAAATTGCCTTTATTACTATAATTAAACATTTAGATTTAATTTAATTTAATTAATTATCCATATTTATTATACCGCTAATTCTGATCTTGTCTTAGTCTATGGTAGTTTCATGTTTTTGTTTGATAATCTGTGGCGTATCGCCGTGCCGCCATTTTGTGTCACATTATAAATAGTAAGTATTCCATTTAATATATTTTACATTTATAAAATGCCAATCTTTTAACATTATGTATATGTTTTTATCTAACATTTTAATAACTAATTAATACTCTTATCTTTTGATAACATGTTACTCGAATAGAACGTGGTTTATTAGAAAAACAATAGTTAAATAAAAGACGGCTGTGGTTGATAATTGAGATTAAAAATTCTAAGAATAGTTTTAATAGTAGAGACCGGGTAGAGGTCGAGCTGACGAGTTATGTCAGGTCGAGTGGATATTATTGTGGCCAATACTGAGTGAATTCATCACGATTGGCTAAC